GAGACAAAGCAGATTTGAGAGCAATTTCTCCTAATACAGGAGCTAAAATAAGAGAATTAGTTTCTACAGAACCTGCTAATTGACTAGTCAAAGGAATGATAAAACCTACTTTCACACTGAATACTGTTTTTAAAGCTTTTAACTTTTAAAGTTTGAATTATGAAGAAGAATGTATTCAAATTATGGATTTTAGTGGTTTTCTTTTTGATAGCCATGTTTCTGAATAACTATGGTATCAGAGCTATTTTGCATGTAATAAACCAAAAAAAAAAAAAAGCTGAACCAAAGATGGTCCTGACTGGCCTTGAATTTTGAATTTTTGATCCTGCTGCCTCTGCCTCCTTCAGAAAATCCTACCAGTATGCACCACCACAGTCAACAAAGCAAAAAGGTGTGGATATGTGGATAAAGGGCATTACTATGTGATTCATTGTGTCACACTGCAGCTTCCATGACAAGAGACTTTTTTTCCTTTTTTTCTCTTTTATTTTTTTTTTTAGATTTTATTTATTTATTTATTTGTGGGTTGTGTTGGGGGAGAAGATAGGTGGGATTGGGGGGCATGATGAGAAAGACACCAAGAATAAATTTAAAAAAAACTTCAATAAAGTTAAGAGGGTCCTAACTGTGCTTTTCCCTTCCTGATACATTCTTATATCTCTGTTTGTAATAGTGAACCTTCTGGATCTTTGAAGTTCTCTCCAAAATGTAAAATGTGGGAAAATTTTTGCTAATCCTTTAACTATATTAGGTGGAGTAAAATGACAAGAAATCTGCCATAAAATGGGGCTGATATAGGTTAGGTCTCTCCTAAGGGCTGGATGTGAACTGGATGTTGATTCAGACACATGGCATCCACTCTGTACTTTGGCTCTGTGAACACAAACAAATGGTTTGGGACAGCAGCATTCTCTCCTGGGCTCAGCCCTATTGTTCTCTGCACTTAGTCACAGTTCATAGTTGATGCCCACGGCTATCTAAGTCTGGGACATTTTAACCTACATAGAATTGGACAATTTACAATATTTTCTTGATGTTGATTTCTCTTTTAAATTTCAAGTAATATTGTTTGGTTGCCATCGCCACTTGTCCCAAACCCTACCACACATATGCTTTAAAGGCCAGATTTGGTTAGTTGTCATATTTTAAATTTACAATATCAATCTCATATCACTTTAGCATCTCTATAAAATTCTTTAAGTAGGATATGGTTATGCATACCTATAATCCTAGCTCTTGGAAGATAGGAGCAGGAGGCCACCCTCAGCTACATAGTGAATTGGAGGCCAGCCTGGGTTATGAGCGACCCATGTCTCCAATTAAAAAAAATGCTTTTTAAAATAATTTATGCTCTCAGCAATACACATAGCAACTAAACTAAACCTTTGCACTGCCATTTCTAAAGTTCCAAGGTCCCTTTTTAGTTTTGATTTCTTCTTTTGCACCCAAAGTATTCTTGACTTGGCAGATAGTATTGACCAAAAATCCAACAAACACAGTGATGTGACCTCAGCCCTCTTGGTTAAGGTCATGGTTATATACAGAGCTCAATTTGGGTTCATATAGGACAGTCTGGAAACTATTTTAAGCTGTGTCTGTGAAGCAAATATGATCTGTAAGCCAATGCACACTAAAATGAGACTCTAACTCCTTCGTCCATTATGCAAATTCCACAATGACAATGATGATAAAGTAGTTAGTTGGAGAGCAGAGTCTTTGGTTCTATATCTTCCTATTCTAAACATTATCTACCATATGAACTTGTGTATATCTTATCGTTTGTTAACAAGAGGTACACACCATTATTCCCAGCAAGACTGAAACCCAGTGTAAGTGATAAAGAACATACAGCTGTCAATGTCCGTGCCTTCTTCTGTGCTCCTAACCTTAGTAGCTATCAAGTTATGCTATATCCAATGGAATAGGATATAACCAAACTAAAGAGAGCCTTCTAGAACATAAAGATGCTCAAATCAGAAGTACTGCATAGCTGAAAATAGACCTCTAGAGATTCAATAATCCTAACAATCATCCTGTGACCATAAGCATGAATGATAAGTCTTGTTTCCTATGGGTTAATTCAGGTGCATCTTGTGCTGTTGGAGCCTGTTTGTAGTTACTTCTTTGGCTATTCCCACTACTACAAGTTTCTTTCATTAAATCCAACCAAAAAACAGGAGTCTGTCCTTGGAACACACTGAGAACTAGTTTGACATTGTGTGTTGGCTCAGTGTCCAGTATCAGGAAATAGACAGCTTTTTTAAAAGATATGTATTTTTATATTAAGTGTAATGGAATTATATTAAATGAAATGGTCAGTTTGTTGATTTATTTAACTAAAAGGAAGGGCCTGTGTATAATGTTTAATCTATGAAAATGTACATCTTGATATGAGATAAGATGCACAGGTTGTCCCAAAACTTTACAAGTTGCAGTTTTTCTACTTGACATTTAAGTATCTTTCTATGCATTGTTTATTTCATTTACATTGTGTAATTGCCTTTAAATACCATTTATATGTGAAGAGAGACCCCCCAAAGCATTAAATCTAGACATGATATCCTGGATTGCAATGGCATAATTTAATACATTGTCATTATGTTTAAACACATACATATATACTTGTAAAACTACTTATTTTGAGTATAACTTTGTATAATACTTTGATTGATAAAAATATAGGTTTTGGAACCATTATATGCATTTGTCTATGCAGTAGCAAACATACATTATGACAAACTTATAATAAATTATATATGATACAAGAGTAAATTTTGTAGAAGGATAAAAAGGAAAATGAATTATGTTTAAAATATAATGCTAATTCATTATTTACAAATAAAAATTTCTATACACGTTATATTAAATTCACTCATTTCAAGCTTACATTCATATGATATTCACATAAAATTCATTACTTATTTGTTGCAATGAGATTGGATTTGGCACTGAGCATTTGAACAGCTTGTTGACATATCACTCCAGCTACAAGGCTCTGAACGTGTGGAGGAACGCAATTTACCTAAGATATGTGTTACAGTCATTGGCAAAGTATGTTAGTGAAACTCCTCTGTTGTTCTGATATTATCTAAGGGTATTCCCTCCCAAGTGACAGGGAAACACCTGGGTTATTTTGATTTCACTGAAGATGGACATGAAAATGAGGTACAGTGCACGAGTCTGGAATAACATACAGGTGTCTCCATTCCAAAACAGAACAGCCCTTCTGCACCTTGAAGCTTCTTCCCTTGCTTGGAAATCAGAGAGAATTCATGCCAGAATACATGACTAATGTCTTAGAATTCTTCACTCATTCTTTTGATATTTTAATACCTTAAATATCATCTTGTTTATCATCAGCAAATTTTATGGGTATGCAAGTTTTGATAACTGTTTTGACAGTGTATATTACAGCTTCAAAAACAAAACAAAAATCCACTGTTTATGATCTTTCAGTTTAATATTTTGGATGAGGCAAAAGTTTCTCTCCTAATTACCATTAATATTATTTTCTTCTAATTAAATAAGGTTATTTGGACAATCATTGACTAAGAATACTACAAAATGTAATGGCTGTGAAAAGAGCATGCTTTGCCGTGGGCTCTGCAGTATGAGTGAGGCTTCATGATGTGTGGAATAGAAGCACACAGCTCGCCCATCTGAAGGGGGGACACATGATGTAGAGATGCTCAAAATTCACTCCTGTCCATGTTGGGAGACCTGGTGGGTCTGAAATACCATGTTCCCCAAAATGCACCCCTGTGGTTAATACTTTTTTCATGTCAAGTTTTCTCTTTCTTTGTCTGTGCTTTCCTTAACTCTTTTCTCACCCCACATTTGAGAATCTCAGACTGCATACTGGCAAGCACTCCACTGTTACTGAATTGATTCTGAAAAAACCTGGTAGATGAAGGAATCGTACGTTCCTTAAGTACATGCATGATTCAATAATGAGGCTCAAGTTTTGAAACAACAATGAAAAATAGGACATTATAATATATAAAATCATTTCACTTTTCATTCTGAAAATTACACTCGGATTTTAAGCCACATTCTTAAACAAAGGATGTCCACCTGCTGATGCTTTGAATAGTTCCAATTGCAAACTACAGAAAAGAATTCTAGGGCTCAGAGCACAAGGTTTGTACTTGATGTCGAATATTACAGACAGGGGCAAAATTACATTTAATCATTGACCTCTTGAAAGTCATGTGCACACCAAATATTAAAAATGATGGCTTTTTCTCTTCATGACTTGCTTTAACCTTTTGTTTTCTATTGCATTTTGAAATTCAATATATACACTTCTGGAGATCTGTCTGGTCCCTAAAAGCGGCTTATGTGGAATAGGGCCCAGAGTAGACCTTTAACTTTAAACTATTCTATTAATGAATGTCCACAAATGAGTGGGGTTTGTTTTTCAGTCTCTTGGTGAGTTGTTTGGGAACTGCTGGTAATAAACACACAGTGAACACATGCTATTGCAGCAATCGGCACCTGCAACAGGGGTTAAACAATGACCTTTTTTTATATATGGCTCAACTTTGTCTCCAATACTGACTTAGAAAATAAGCCAAGGCATTATATTTGTAAGGGTTGACAACAGCTAGAGCTAGAATTATCCTTTTCCTTTCCCCCTATTCTTAATCTTCTTCTAAACTTATTGCTGTAATGCTGTCCAATAACCATTCATGCTTTCATGCTTTCCTTCAGATACTTTCTTTGAGCGTATGGCAGTTGTTGACATCCTCAAAGAATTCAGTGCATGCTTTCCATCCCAATGTGGGCCCTATTTTCCATCACTTACACATAAACTTTTGTTTGTGTTGTTTGTGCTTAGAATAATATATGATATCACTAAAAAAAAAAACACATCAGATTGTGGGGCTGATGAGCCAGTACTTAGCATGTGCAAGGCCTTGTGATAGATCTCCAGCACCACCAAATAAATAAATAAATAAATAAAATCTGAAGAGAAAAAGAGAAATGAGAGAGGGAGAGATAGGGAAGAGTGGGGGAAGAAGGAAAAGAAAAAAAATGGAAGAGTGGCAGAGAGAGGGAAGAAGGGAGGGACGAATGGGGAGGGAGAGCATGTTCATGAAGAAGAACAGGAAAGGCTAAGAGAATGCAAGTTGAAAACTGAGCAAATGTCACAGTCAGATCATGGAAAAGCAGGCTACTATACACATGGAGAGAGGTGAACTGGTTAACTCATTGAAAAATTGACAGTAGTGATTGAGAATAAACACAGTATACGTGTTGTAGTAATTAACCTAATGTCCAGTGCATTAGCCAGCAAAGATGCTAAGAACCATTCAGACTGCTTTCCATGGGCTCGCTAATATATATTTCCTCTTTCCATAATAGAGATAAGTAATATCTGGCCATTTCTTTGGCTAGGACTTTATTCATTTATATATGCCTTAACAAAACTATTCAAAATTAAAAGTGCTATGATGAGAAATAAAGCCATTGTTTTCACACTTGATTCCTTCTCTCTGTGCAATTGCTATTTTTTTCTGAACTCATCCATCATAACTTTTTATTTATGCAAAGCTTCTACCCCCAAATGTTTATATTTTAATGTCTGTTATATATGTTCCAAACCTTCTTTCCAAGACCATCCTACAGCAACACGCTGTTCTGTACAGTTTAGGTGGGGTCATTGTACGTTGTCTTCAGTCCCAGATCCCTCTGGGCTGGAATCAACATCGAGAAGGGCCTCTTTGTTGGTGAAAGTTGAACTGAGAGTTAGACTCTGTCGAGGCTTCACAGGTGCAAGTTCATTCAATTTGATGTTTTCATTTCTGACTAGAATAGTCTTGTCCATGTTCTCCTCACTGTGCCTCGAAACGACGGCATCAAATACGTCTAGTTTCGGAGGCAAGGTTCCACTTTCAAATAGATATTTGGCTAGATAAGAAACACAAATGTTGGTCAAGAACGAGGTAACCATGGAGAGAGTTTTAAAGGGGAATCTCTGGTTGTATATACCACTCTTGTCAACGTAATAACCAGGGTAGAAGATTAGGGGCTGCAAGTATAGATATGGCTCCCCTCCAGTAATTCTCAGGAAAAGTCCAAAAATGTAACCTGCAATGGCCCCGTAAGTGTTGGTTCCTTTGATGAAGAGTACACAGAGCAACTGGGGGAAGATGATGATATAGACTAGGTCAGAACTCAGGTACCAGAGCCCATACACAGTCTTTGTCAGCAAGGCCATGGCTGTTGCGGATGCTCCAAACACCAACACAGTGATCCTCATGACCCACACGATCTCTTTGTCTGATGCCTGTGAGGAATCAAGGCAGAGTCAACATTACAAACAATCAAGGCAGAGTCAACATTACAAACAATGTGCTGGCTCTTTAAGAGATGAACAGGATAAATGTCTACGGTTCAACACTGATCTTATACAGTACCCCATGTCCAAAGCTGATGGAATCCATGGCAATTGGGTACAGGGGTTTCTTGTACCATATGAATGAAGTGAAATCATGGAATCTTTCTCTGAATGTACGGGGGATAAGCTTAGAGGAGGGTCGGATGTCACGCATGAAATAAGGCAAGGTAAGATCTCACCCACATGAGGCACTGACAGTACAAGCACCCTTCAGACTTGTCTCTGTAAGAGTCCTACCATTTTCAAAGGTAACTATTTTTTTGGTGCCTTAAATCAGGTGTTTCTAGAGGGATTTCCTTGAAAAAAAAACCAATGGGCCATTTTTAAAAATTGCCTTTGTAGGTACATGTATGTGTGTGCAAATGCACATGCTACCGCGCATGTGAGGAGGTCAGAGGACAATCTACAAGACTCAGTTCTGACTATGTGGGTTCCACGGATGGAACTTGGGTCACCAAGCTTGGTGGCAAGTTCATTTTCCCTTCTGAGCCATCGCATTGGTTCCAGTGAACTTATTTTGCTGACTATGACCTAGGAAACCGGTGAGAATCGAAATTTTACATGATAGAGGAAAAGCTCTTGAGAGGGAGGGGTTCATTGTCCTCCAAGGAACACAGCAGCAAACTGGCCTAGATCCGTTTGGCTCTGTAAGGAAAATCAAATTGAAAGGCTGCATGTTAAGGGTATCCTTTGGAAGTCAAAGACCACAGCAGTTGTTAGAAATGTGGTGTGAAGTAGCTCACCTTGACTTATAGTTACCAGAACTCTCTAACATCCTAGCGTATTTAACCAGATTAAATGCTTCCTAAAACACTTGAAGATGCATTTGCTTCCGACAAAAAGACAAGAAATTTAAGCTAGTATCACGACAATCTCTTAGGAAATAGTTACACTAACATGTTCCCTTTCATGTGAAAATGAGCAATAATATGCATTGCTATGATTCATTTGCAGGATAAATTCACCATATTTAAATATGTGTGTTTAGCCAATATAAAGGCTGAATTGCAATACAGACTCAATATGTGCCAGATTGATCCTTTATCCAAAATGCTTGAGAGCAGAAGTGTTTCATACCAAGAGGTGTTTATTTTTGTATTTTGGAATATTTTATGTTCCATAATAAGATACGTAGGAATGAAACCGAAGTTTAAAAGAGAAGCTAACTTACATTTCACTTGTACCCTGTAGGTATGGCAGGAAGGCTATTTGTAACACTGTGTTTAGTAATTTTGTGAATGAAACAAGGTTTCCTAGGATGGGGCCTCCCACTTATGACATATGGCTGGTTTTCAAAAAGTTTTGGATTTGGGAACTTTCCAAACTTACCATAAGCATTTCAGCCTGCCATACTATATACAAAATCACACTTGATATTCAGTAACACAGAGAATGCAGTGGCAATGATGAAAAAAAGAATGACAGATTATGACTGGTTAGAAGGCCGGACTTACATTTTGTCTGAAGGAAAGCTGGTAGATATTCCGAGCAAACATGGAACTTGCTGACAGGATGGAAGAGTCAGCTGAGGACATGACAGCGGCGGAAACAGCACCAAGCCCAAAGAAGGAAATGTACGCAGGACAGAGGTACTGGAGGACAATCGGGAGGATCATGTCTCCTTCCTCCTTGGCCTTGGGATCTGGGAACCCATAGGCAGTCTGGTTCCAGTCTGTGGAGCAGAAACAATGGTCACCACTGAGAGTCCCTGTGTGGTCTGCTGAGGTGGGAAGTCCCTATGCTGGTCCTATAAGATGGCTGACCTGCCTGGCTCCTGTGAGTGTTGATAGCCTTGGGGCTGAGTCACACCTGCTGGGCTCTTTGTGCGCAGCAGTGCATAATCAGAATTTCAGACAACCTACTTTCCCTAAACCAAACATTTCCTCCAGACCATTTGGAGTTGAGTGAAAGCCTAACGTTCATTCTGAAAGGTCCAGGGACCTGTGCACACAAAGAGATCACAGACGATTTTTTTTTTTTTAATCACTCACCCTTTTCCTGAAGATCGTTTAACAGCCTTGGAGCTACCTTTTTGTCAGTTTTCTCCTCAGCAATTCCATCTTACATTGGGTTTTCTTTAGGAGAAATAGGGGGCACATCATGCTAAAGACAGCTCCTTTTCATTCATGAGCTCGGAATTTTTGGAGGTCTTTGAACTTGGTCTAATAGATGAGTTGAAACATAAGTTTATCTTTGAATATATAGCTTCCACTTTGTTATTTATTTGTGTGTATGTGTGTGCATGTGCGTGTGTGTGTGTTTGTCTCTCTGTGTGTGTGTGTATATACATGTGTGCCCAAGCGTCTGTAGCACTCAAGTGCTACAGCATATGAATATGAAAGTCAAAAGACAATTTGTGGAAGTTAATTTGTTCTTTCCACCATGGGTTCCAAAGATGGAACTTGGGTTATCAAGTTCAGTGGCAAGTAATTTTACCCTTGGGCCATCTCACTGTCTTTGTGTTATCTGTTTCATTGCAACCTGTGTTGAAGGAGACAAGGGGCCTGGCTATATACATTAGTTAGCTTCTTAGATATTTGGTGGTCTCCTTGATGTCAATGTCAGGACCAAGCAGTAATGGTTTACTTGGGGTCTATCACTCCCCTACTTTCCATTACAGTCATCACTAAAGCCATGCTTATATGCTAAGGGCTAATGCTGCAACTGAGAAGTTAAGTCACTAGAAATCATAACCAATAATGTATTCTCAATCCAAAAAAACAGTAAGCCATATGTTGATTTTGTTACCCTGCTTAAATGTGCATGCGCACACACTCAGGGGGTGGTGGATTGATCTGTTCTTGTGAAACAAGCCATATTTTATTTTTGCAGAAGCAGACACCTTTGCCAAATGCTTTTATCATTCAGCTATTGTTTTATATCATGTATTATCATGGAAGGGGACGATTATGCTGCAAATCGTGATTTAAAACTCCCGTTTTAAAGAATAAAATATAAATAAACCAAAATAACTCAATAAATGGCATTACTCTTATAAGAGACAACAGGGTGGGTGATAAACCCTTTCTAATCTGTTTTAATTATCTTTACTCAGAGAATGCTCCTCGATATAGATTAATACTATGTATTTTCATTCCACGTGCTGAAAGCTGCTCCCTAATCACACTTAAAGCAGCTGAAACTTAGTTCTGAAGTTTATAAAATGCTCCACGGACCACAGATCTCAGTTTCTGTCATTATGATTTTATGATCTTATGTTTATATCTCCTCTGGCTCTTTGAAACCTGAGTCCTTAAGGTGGTGTTATTGCTATTAGGCAGGGAGTTGAGTAAGATACAAAGGTAGAACCCTCCTGACCATGGTCGGTGCCCTTACAGGAGTTCTTGCTTCCTCTGTCTAGCATGGAAGAAACATAAGAGACAGAAATGATCAAGTTCAAGAGAGTTAAAGGCAAGACTTCAGAAATGTTTCATAGAGGCCAACAGGGAAATAAACATTTTATATTGCTCTTTTTTGTTGCCATAGTATTTAGTCTATATTAACCAATATATTTACTGCTTAGTTTCTGCAGGGAAAATAAATATCACTCTTCGTTAGCAAACTATTGGAAATAAAAAAAAGGTAAAATCTCAAGTTCACAGTGGTCCATGGAGACCAGGAGGATTGTCTCCTAAGCCAGTGGGTTGCAATTTCTACTTTTCTCTGGCTCCAGGGAGGCTGTGGAAAGTTTTCAGTGTTCATTTCTGCCATTTATAGCTAAACTCACCATGGAGTAGCCAAAATGGAGTGATATTTTTACATCCAACTGCTTACCTCAGGTTGCACTGTGAGCATCACAGTTGATCTCCTGTGTTTATGTTTGACTGAACACAGTTGCTAACATAACAAAGTTGTTTTTTTTTTCCCAAATGTTTCATCATTGAGTGAGCAACAAAAATCAGACAGAGATCATGGAATTAGAATTCTAGTTTTGAATGCTATAACAAAGGCATGGTAGGATCATGCAGAAAAAATTAATTTCAATGTAGGGCCAAGTGGGCTAATGAGGAAGAGAGATCAGCATTTAGGGATTTGGGACACTACCTTGTAAATGCGACAAAGGTGCAAGTTTACCTGTGGAGGCTCCAATGGCTCCTATGCATATGGACGGTAGAGCCATCACCAGACACCCAAAAGCTGCCAGGAAGGACAGCACCTGAGCGTAGGTGGCTGAGGACGAAGAGAGAACCCTCTGGAAGTAGGCTTGCCATGGGATTCCACCCAGCATCTGCAGGAGAGCCCAGGGATTCAGAGTCAGCCAAACAAAGGAGGAGGCAAATGAAAGGGTTCTTTTCTAGGAGCTTTCGTTGTAACACCACATCAATCAGATGCATTTAGAATGCGTTTAGTAGAGTTGTGAAGTATGGAACACACTCCACAGACCACAAATCCCAACTGCGGCAACTGTGTTTGCTGAGTTGTGAGGTTTTGGCCGCGTCCACATTTGCCAGTTTAAATTCTGATCTTCTGGGTAAAGGAATCGTATCACTATTGTGGTCTGAGTGAATCCACTGTACCATGAAAATGGAGTCAGCATGAATCTAGTTAGTATCCTTTTTAATAAAACAAAGAAAAGAGCAATAAAAAACTTAAGGGAGGTTGATTGCCTTTTCTACCAAGTAAGGATGCAGCAAGAATGCGCTATCTGTGAAAAACCAGCCCACACCAAAAACAGTCTGCCAGTGCCTCAATCCTGGGCTTCATAGTCAGACATGAAAAACAAGTTCTGTTGCTTCTAAGACATCTAAGTCATGCTAGTTCCTTAAAATACCCAGAGGATATCAGTCCTACCTGTAACTGTAGATTTTCCTATTATATATTTTTGTATTTATTTATTTATATACTTATGTTTGATTTTTTGAGACAAGGTTTCTCTGTGTAGCCCTGATTGTCCTGGAACTCACTCTGTAGACCAGGCTTGTTGGGGTTTCCGTCCCACCCGGTACCCCACAACCGGCATACCCCAAGGAAAATCACTCACAGGACTCCATAAGGTTATAAACTGATTGGCCCATTAGGTCAGGCTACTTATTAGCTCTTATAACTTATGTTACCCCATTATCCTTATCTATGTTAGCACATGGCTCCGTACCTTTCTCAGCAGGGCAGGTTACATGCTGCCTTTTCAGTGGTCTGCACAGGAATGGCAGAGGGAGCTTCCTAGATAATCCCAGTCTCTTTGCTCCACCTCTACTTCCTGTCTGGCTTTCCTGCCTATACTGCCTGCCTGGCCAATAGCGTTTTATTAAAATATGATTGACAGAATACAGATAATTCTCCCACACCACAGGCTGACCTCAAACTCAAAGAGATCCACCTGCCTCTGCCTCCCAAGTGTTGGAATTGAAGGTATGTGCCACTGCTGCCCAACTAATAGTGATTTATTTAAAAAAAAGAAAAAATATTGGATTCCTTGTATTATTTCTTTTAGTGACTACAATAGACAGTCTTTCCTTTTCCTTAATTTACCTGTTCTTTGCTTCCTTAAAATTATCCAGAAGACTTCAGATTATATTGGGAGAGAAACATCAACCATCATAAAAAATCTTAGGGGAAGGTTGAAGTGGGGGAGGGGAGAGGTAGGGAGGGGAGCAGACAAAAATTTAGAGCTCAAAAAAATCAATAATTTTTTTTTTATTGGAGACACAGAATAGAAAAGAGTGATGACATCGAGCTGCAGTATAATTGTCTACAAGGCATCTGCATGGAAACAAAACTAAGAAACAATTATTTGGGCTTGAGAGAAAAGGAGATAAGTGGATGCCTATGTATCCATCAATAAAGTCTGCAGAGATGACAACTGAGTTGGGCATATAGGAAGATGGGAGTCCCGTGAAGAGATATGAATATGGAACAAGTAAAAACACCATGATACCCAGGCACCATTGGACCACTGCATACATACCATAATACCCAGACACTCTGGGAAAATTGCATATAAGATATTAGTAGAGTTCAGGGTACAGAGTAATGGTCATTATTGGGACATTATTGGGACATTATTGACTTTTCCCTGAAGTATTGATACTTATATTGCTGTCAGACAGGTAGAAAGTTAGTATTCAGTACGTAGTATCTGAATGAGGGAATAGATGAAGGAGCTTCCTATGACACCTTGAGTCTTTCCTTCAGGGATTTAACTCTAGCATGACTGTCTTATTTCTCTTTACTTTGTCTTACCAAGCACAGTTCCTGATATACTAAATCCAAATTAATTTTCTTTCCTGTAAAATTCATACATATTCAGAAGTCAAAACAAATAGTTAAAAATAAATTTCAAAATACATAATTCAGTTTTTAAAATCTATATTCTTTTTAAATTTGTTTTTATGTATACAGTGTGTGGCCTGTATGTTTTGCCTGCACACCAGAAGAGGGCTTCAGATCTCATTAAAGATGGTCGTGAGCTGCCATGTGGTTGTTGGAAACTGAACTCAGGACCTCTGGAAGAGCAGTCAATGCTCTTAACCTCTGAGTCATCTCACCAACCCAAATCTATAATCTTCCCAAAACATGTTTCTTTCTTTCTAAACCTATACATTAGTATGTCATTAGTATTTTATGTCCATGTTATATGAATTTATGTACTTTTAGAAACATTAGAACCATCCTGAACATCCATAGTTTATAAGTAAAATCTACCTATGCTTTCTAAAAGACCAGTTTATATACTGAAAACCTGACCCCAGTTTGATGGTATTTGGAACTAAATTGAGTTTTGGAAGGCATAATCAGATGATAAGAGTGAAGCTATTCCAAAAGGGATTGGTGACCTTTGAATGATATGCTTTTCTTTACAACATGGGAAGGCATAGTGAGAAGTTAGCAGCCTAGAACCTGAGAAGAATCCTTGACAGAACCTACCTATGTTGGCTGTCTGACTTCAGACTCTATTACTAGAGTATTGAAAAGTAAATTTCTATAAGTGGTACTTTGTTGTGGTAGCCCTTATTACTGAATACAGAATGCAATTTGGAAAATGAGTGTAGAATAATAACAATATGGAAACAAGGTAAGAAGGCTATAGGTCTAATGTGGAGCTAATTAGGGGTGGTGGGGCTGACAAAGGCTTCCAGTGCCATTAGCAGAACTTAGGAATCATGTTAGCATAGAGATTTATGGAAAATTACCAGAAGGACAAAGACCATTTGTATTACAATCCATAGTTTGCTTCTCTGGTTTCTCCTTCCACTCAACATATATTTGTTTTCTTCTTGTCAAACAATTGAGATAATGAGTCTGACTAAAGAACTGGATATAAAGTTTTATTTTATAGATGAACCTCATGAGGACTTCAATGTGGTATGGGGGAAAGGACCATGAGATTGTGATGCTCTGCTTTAATTCCTAGCTCAGGCACATTTTGATAGACAACAAGTTGCCCGCTTCTGCTTTTCAGCATCTCCATGCAGCTATAAACACATTGGCAGGCAGATGTCATTTTACATCTCACTCTTTATATTCATATTCACAAAGTATCCCAAGAAAAAGAAAGCCAAGGGATTTCTTCTCAAGCCTTAGTAGAGAAGATTCTATTGGAAACAAACTTTTCCCCAAGTTTTCCTGCCTTTTACCGGGGAATTCTTTACTAGAAAAGAAACACCTAACTTGAGTGTTGAAGAGTTGTTCATTTTCAGTAAAGTGCCACACACATAAACTCATAAAATATTATCAGTCCTCTACAAAGGAAAAAAATAACCGATTCCCTCTCCACTGTCTATAAGAAATTATCAATTTCTTGCCTTGAAATTCAATGCAATGTGTTATTTTCATACATCATCTCCTTAGTTAGCAGATTCATAAAGTCTGGTAGAATTTACATGGTTCTTCCCTCGTCCTCGGCCTGCACTCTGCCATTGTTCCCCCTATGCCCTTCTCTGACAGGGCTGCCATACCAGGGTTCTTTATGTTTCCAGCTACTTCTGTCTCTTGAGGACTGATGTAAGTGGGTCTTCTGTATTTCTGTTGCTTTCATTGGCTAATTAATAAAGAAACTGCTTGGCCTGATAGGTCAGAACATAGGTGGGTGGAGTAGACAGAACAGAATGCTGGGAAGAAGGCAATGAGGCAGACGCCATAGCTCTCCTCTCCAAGATGGATGCCGGTTATACTTGTCCAAGTAAGCACAGTCAAGTGGCAATACGCATTAATAGAAATGGGTTGAATCAATATGTAAGAGCTAGCCAATAAGAGGTTATAACTAATGGGCCAGGCAGTGTTTCAATGAATACAGTTTGTGTGTTGTTATTTCTGGGTGTAAAGCTAGCTATGTGGGAGCCAGGCAGGAATGCAGCCCGCTGTTCCATATTACAACAGAGGACTTCTCCTCTGGAAACACTTCCTAGTGATGCTTCCCCAACTTACCTCATGCACTGAGAGCCAAGGCATGAGGAGCCAAGACAGGAGTCAATTCAGATATGGCCATGAATCAGCAGGTGAAGCTTTGAATAGACATGTGAAATCTTGAACAATTAGATCACATTTCTCCGATCATAGTGTCACTTACCAACAACAGAAAATTGTCAAGCCAGGTGTAAACTTCAATTGGTTCAATGCTTCCCAGCCAGGGACTCTGGTATTTGGCATGCACAGCGGTGAATCCAATGTCGGTGACTGCAGGATGTGACAGGGCAAAGGGGACACTGATCCACTGGAACAAAGAGTGACATTGGGGCATTGACTATGAGCTTAACTGTCCTGGACATGCACAAGTCCTGTTCCTAGTTCATCTTTCTCAGAACTGGCACAGCTTGATAGTTGCTCTTTCTCAGACAGAGAAAGGCCTGAAATTATGTTTTCTATAGGATGCCATGGAACACGAATTTAGAAAGAAAATGAAAAAAAAAAACCACATTGACCACTCATGTGTTTGACTACATAGAATCATATAAACCATAGAAGCAATCAGCTTATTTGTGACAGAAAACATTCCATCACACAGAACAAAAATGACCAACAAACACATTTCTGCATGCTTTGTTGTTGAGCAATAGCATGTAGTAGGTCCTGTGGGTGATGAGCGTTTTCGGCTTATACTAATTTCACTCTACATAGCCTGCCGTAAGCTGAATAGTGTCTGTGTGCTTCTTCTCGTCTCATTTTCCCCTGACTTCTTCAGCTCTGCTCTTCTCTGTTAGTGTACGGGCACATCCTTGAATCATCTCTTTCCTGATCATATTAATGAATGACTATCTTTGACTATTTAATAGAAAATAAAAGTATGTAGTAGTGTGAGTGTGTGTTTGTGTGTGGTCAGATTTACCGGGCAACAAGGTTTGCTGGCAGAGGAGTGGCTTCTGAAAATAAGAGGCAAAGACTCAAGAAGAAAACCTTGAGCTTCGAGCTAAACGATTTTAATTTTGTTTTGTAGGTAATTGGAAACTAGAGGACATTCTCTGAAGTTTGACAAATATTTCAATTTAATATCATGGACACTAATGGCGAGTTTCAAAACACAGAAACAAATGGGAGTGCCACAGGTAGTCTCTTATACCTCCTGACAAAGGTCTGAAAGCTAGCAGTAACATTGGCAATCGAAAGGTGTTAGTAAGACCAGGGAGGCAGAGTCAACAGCCCCTGGGTTAGAACACGAAACAGGAGCCAGAAGCTAAAACTAAGCCAACCAAGTGTTCAGTTTCAGATCTCCAAGGATGGTTACGAAACCCAGAAAATTACATAGTCTGAAAAGGTATGGTTAAGGTATAGATTGATTATATATGTATGTGTGTATATAGGAATTAAAGTTGGGAAAATAAACTGTATCTAGACAGCTAATTCTGTAGTACTTTAACTAAGAAACCCATAATTATGTAGTATTCTTTACTGAATAATACACACACATGATCTAATTTAACTTAGGAATTAAAGACTAGTTAACATTCATTACTTATCCACTTAGTTATGCTTTATGGCCAAAAAATTTATAATATATATCCCAACATAGGTTTGCCCTTCTCGTCCTATGCCAACACAATTGATTCATGAGTCTGTGTGTCTTAAGTTCTGCTTTCATACAAAGCAGTGACGCAGGATATACATCATTGGTAGATAGATTCATTCCCCTGGGGTTGGGCTTCATGGGATAACAAACACATCAATTATGAGAGCTTCCCTCATCACACTGACCTCACCTCTGACACTCCCCGAGAAGTGCCTTTGTGTTCTCAGCTTCCTTTATGGATGGCTATGAAGCTGCTGAGTAAGAAGCAGAATTGTGAACATCCACTTAAACATAAAAAAGCAGGAATTCCTGAGAAAATTAAATATTCTCAATTCAATTTTTAAAATGTGTGAATGACATCTTACAACACAAACAATGTCTAGAAGAAGAAGGGGAAATGCGGTTTTTGTGACTATATTGGAATTAATATTTACAGTGTAAGTCAGATTGCAGTTAATGGAGTCCTCCGGGACATTATTACTGATGATGCAAAGTCACAATAAAAAGTTATGGGAGTCATTTTTTCATCTCCAAACATGGAAGGTAAAAGCTGAAATAGTCGGTGGGGATGTTTACGCTAAGTAAAGCAATTAACAGAAAAGAAAATCAAGGATATTTTGATCCTGATTGGGAAAATGAGCACACACGCTTTCTCTGTGGCTCTGCATAAGGACAGTGGGCGTGATTCTTACATTTAATGAGACTGTGCACATGGACCCAAGTCAGCCCTTGACACAGAATGGACACGCATTTCTAATTATATACCTTTAATATGAATTAGGTGTTGTATACTGTCATAAATGTAATTATTGCTTGCATTTTAAGACTTGAAGATTTAAAACTTGGAAAGCAGACACGGATGAATTTAATAAGCGCAGAAGTACTTTTTCTGCTGTCCTAATACTAGTCATTCTTCACAGCGATAGTATTCCTACTTAATAAGACATGCGTGTGATCTAATTTACAGAGGAATACAAACATAGTAAATCTTGCTAATACTGTATGTAAGTAAACCCCTCCTTTTCAGATGCCTGCCATAGCATCTACGTCCTGCAAGTCTCCCTGTGGTACATAATAGAAGACAAGAAGAAGTATTTTGCCCATATTACCAAGGAGTTAATTTTTCATCATGAGATGAAAGTGTTGCCACTGAATACTAAAGAGGCTCACAAGTATGCCCGATCCAAGCTAACAGGGATAGAGAGCAGAACCCAGATATTTGTAGGTGTTAGGGAATACCTTTCTGTCAAATGCTAACAAAAATAACCAGGGGTTTGATCTAACAAGTTCATAGAAAAAATTAGTATTTCAGATAGCATTAAATCTACTGTGTATTTTTCATGATAGAAAAATCATATATTCACTGATTTTTTTCTGAGTTATGTTAAATATTATATTTTAGAAAGAAATGAGGAAGGCAAGCAGGAAGGAGGGAGGAAGGAAGGGAAGAAGAAGGAAGGAGATAAAAGATGAGGGCTGTGTCACTTACCAGTCCTATGAAAATGCAGAACAGTTGAACAACATCAGTATATGCCACAGAGTAGAGCCCGCCCACTAGGGTGTAAAGGATGGCAATGAGGGCAGAGACAATGACCGACGCATTCACATCCACATCAATGATCACGCTGATGGTGGCCCCTAGAGGAAAATGACCAGGCAGCTCAGTGGTCAGGGAACACAGGTGACTCTGTTTCCAAAGTGAAGTCCCAGCAGGTATGTCCCAGGGGCTTGTAAGGTGTACAGGATGACCACAGGGGGAAAGAACTTCTGTGTTAATTCTATGTCTTAATAAACTATGCATCTCTCTACATATAGCAGGATATTCTTTAAGTTGATGTTTTGCTAGATAGTCTATGCAAAAACATATCTAAAACACATGGCAACAGAACAACTAGAAATATGGCTAAACATAACTCCATTTTCAGAACTTGTAATGCTTTGACTATATAAAATTCTGACAATTAAACATGTATAGCTGCCTTCTTTACATCCAAGAAGTCTTTCTGAGAGGCATGAGCACTCATTTCCATAATTTGCGATGAATATTTATTTCCATTTTGTTATCTGCTAACCCAGAATAATGCACAAACCTTACAAGATACCAAAGAACTGAGTCAAACTTACAGGGGAAAATAATAAAATTGGTAAATGTAATTATCAATTTCTTTTTTTTTTAAGTCTCCATAGATCTCGTTAAATTGTTTAGTTGGTAAGCATGTGGCTTCTACCCATAACATACTGAAGAATCTTGGCTTTTAAAAATCATAGTTTTGGGTCTGGAGAGATGGATCAATGGTTAAAAGCACATATTGTTCTCACAGAGGACCCTGATTCAGTCACCCAAATGGTGGCTCACAACCATTCAGGTCCACGAGATCTGACAATCTCTTCTCACCTCCATCAGCACCAGACACACAGTGCATATATATCCATGTAGGCAAAATGTCCAAACACACAAAACAAACAAATCTAAAGGAAAAAAGAGGAAATGATTGTTTGAGTAACTTTCATCTTCAATATTTGTTTTTGTTTTCTTGCCTTACTGCATTGTTTTTGTTGCCTGTCTTCCCACTGAGAATTTTGTGAATGGGCAGTTTGGAACACTGCTCCCTCTTCCTACTCCTTAACAGGCATGCTCATAGTGTATATCACCTACCGGGAGAAACATTCACTATTTAAAGGGCAACTCAGGCTGTTCTAAAACAACAACACAAAATACTTTTTTAGCTTTGACTATGTTAATAGAACAATTTCCATGAACAAAAAGAGCAATATAATAAAGAGCTATGATCCAAATATTCAAGAGGTCAGTTATTTATCAGGGTTTTAAATAAATGATAGAATTAATGTATGGACAGAGTACTTTTTCTTTTTCAAAAGTTTTTTTTTCATGTTGGAATTTTAGTTACAAATCTCTGTCATTTGGTGATGTTTTCTGCTTTCATAAAATTTACAGTTTATATAGGCAAAGTTCACAGCAACAGTCTTTGGAAATACTATTTTGGTTGAAACTCAGTGACTTTAGAAAAGTCACCTGCTTTTCTATCACAATATACTTGGGTTGAATTTTTTTCTGAAAATACATTCTATATGATTATGTTGACTGTAGTGAGAAAAAGCTGCATCTTCCGACCTGCTGGTGTAAAGTTATAAAACAAATCATTGAATTTAGCTACTATAAATATAAGCACACATTTAATTCATGCAGCCTAAGGTGCCATCAACAGTTTGATTTATTCCAGACTGAAAATGATAATCAGACATAGCCTGGCAACAACAGGCTAGCATTCACTGGTATTGACTGGTATTGGCTGATATCACAGTTCATCCTGATTCAACAACTTGATGTCAAATGAGAGGACACAATAAGCAAGGGAAAAGATGTAGCAGAAGTCACAGGTCCCAGAGAACTTTGGGGATGTCAGTGTGACCCAATCACTGACTGCTGGACTGCACCATGAGACAGCATGTTTTATTTAATACAGTGGACAAAACATGAGAAGGATACATGCTCGAGTAATGTCTGGAAGAGGTTATTCCGGAAAGAAAAGTGAGAAAGGACCAGACAAAGAAGAGATGGTGTGGACGAAATCTATGAATACAACTGCCCTCCATGGGCTCTGTGAAGCTGCTCCCACCTGGAACGTACACGGAGAACCATCTCTTATGTAGTTGTATTACCTTAAATAAATGTCTGTTGTAATTACAGAGAAAAGATGCTCCTATGTTTTTATTCCCCATGCTCATTCATACTAGGTGACAATGAACACAAATAGAGTTTATACTTGTTCTTAAGTGTCCCAAGATTATTTACTACAAGCACTACTTTTGAAATATAGCCAGCAATTATAATTAAAGGACAAAGGCAATAATACTATCATAGACAGGAGTTTCTAGAGCATAGCTTCCTACCAAGGGCAACAGTGTGTGTATAGATATTTGTTGCTTGTAGTGTATGTGTACCTGTGTTACTTTGCATGTGTGTTTATACTGAGAGACTGTTCACACTTTTCCATATACATGAAATATATATGCAGGCATAGGCAAATATTAGCAGAAGTAATTCTATTGCAGTACGGAGTTTATCTACTGTATTTTCTATTTGTAAAATGTCATAGAAACTTCAGCTCATTAGTTCTATTCACCTTTCAGAACCACTGTTTGGGAGGTTTATTCAGTCAGAGTGAATATTTTGTATTTTGTTATTTAGCCCACTACTTTTCTGCCATACCTCAGCATGTAGTCTGTTCTTAAACTCGAAATTTCTAGTGTCAAAACATGTGGCAAGCAAACTCCCCTTGTTTCTCCACTAATGAGAGCGAGGTTGGGGGAGACTGTTCTTTTTGAACATTATGTCATTAGGTTCTAAGTTGAAGACTGCTGTCCAGCACAGGGGAATGGTATTTTCCACTGAGTGACTGGTGTCTTTTATGAACTTGCAAATTGTCTTCCTTTTCTCACTTCTTTCCTCCCATAGTTAGCAACCAAAACCATGACCTTAGATTATAAAAGAATTTGTGAGGTTAAGGAGACAAAGTTGGTGTGAACCAATCTCAGATGGTACAGAGGCTACATATGATAAAACTGGAGCCAGAAGACAAACTGGTCTGGCATATACAACACAATGGAAATTGCTTTTTGCTCTTGCCACCTAGTGCCTGGCTGTAGACTTAAGCCTTGCCCTTTCATTTGGAGAAGAGGTGGGGAATGCTGTGTAGGAGGGGGCCTGGATATGGCCTTCTGGCCCAATGAAGAGAGCTGTGGGAGGCCAGCTCTCCAGCTGTTCCCCAGCCCCACATGCAGTGGGCTGGGACAGGCCCGTCTTTGATCTAAAGGAAGCAGACTGAGACTGGAGATCTTCCACAGTCCCACTGAAAACATTGGAGATGAGTCCCAAGACACCCTGACAACTGGATTTGTAAAGTGCCAGGAGCAAGATGGAAGAGTCACAGTTCTGGAGGAGACATGACACAGGGGCATGAGGAGAAGAGAAAAACAAAGGCTCTGTCATGACTACAGATTCTGTGGAAGTTTTGACTTTTAGAAGAAAAGAGGAGGATGGAGCCTGAATTTAGGAGTTGGTCACCAGAGAAGGGCAGACCTGCAAGCAGGGAGACCCCTGCACCGACTCCAGTGAGGAAAGTCTGGCTGAGGCAAGCAAGAGGGAGGACTGGACAGTGAAGAACGGTCCTAGAGCTGATGAGATTGACAGAAGGAAGGTGACAGAATGAAAATGATGCAGCACATAGCTTCTCCAGGGTCTGCATCTCCAGGTACCTCAGCAGCCTTACTGAGGCTATTTGCGTTTCAGCAACTGGTCCTGTTTTTTTTCACCTCAAAATCTGCACCTTCAAGAGTAGATATGGGTGAAGAGAACCTGGGGATTGGACACTTTCCACGAGTTAACCAAAACCCACCTAAACTTGTGGGAGAATCCTTGCTGTGTACTATCACCCTCAGTTTTACCATTAACTAGCCAAAGCATTATGCCTTCACAAAAACTTATATTGGCATGTCAAGTTAGATGGTTTTGATGAAAGCCTTCCTGTTCTGCCCACAGGCTGTAAGATCCTATTTCTCTGCAAATGTTATTTACGGTTGAAACTCACACATTGTTTTACATTTGCTTTTAATAGGGCATATCTTACATAACAATATTATTACTTTCAAAAATCTTTATAAAATTTAGTTTTGCCTGTGTTTATCAATCTTAGCATAGCATTCATCAGAAGAGAAAACAGGAAGAAACAATTTCACAGAAGTGAAAACAGTTACTGGGGATGAATAAAGGCAAAAATAATTTGTTTAAATTTATTTCCCTTAATTGTCCTCCTGGACATTTTTTTTTAAAGTTCTCATCCAAATGGTATCATTTAGTTGTGCTTAATTAACTTTATTAGGTTGTGCTCAATTCAAGGAAGTCAGGACCATGAGGGGTTGGTTCACTCACTGAGACAGTGTTCCTGATCTAATGGGAGCTCACCAAATCCAGCTGAACTGGGACTGAAAAAGCATGGAATCAAACTGGACCCTCTGAATGTGGCTGACAATTGGGGCAGACTGAGAAGCCAATGATAATGGCACTGGGATTTGTCTTTACTGCCTGTACTGGCTTTTTGGGATCCTAGTCTATTTGGATGTCTACCTTCTTCAGCCTGGATGTAGCAGGGAGGGCCTTGGACTTCCCATAGGGCGGGGTACCTTTTCCTCTCTCAGGACTGGAAGGGAAGGGTGGAGGGTGTGTGGGGGAGTGAGAGGGAAGTGGGAGGAAGTGGAAATTTTGATTGGTATTATTTATAAAGTAATAAAAAAGTTGTGTTCAATTGTGTTTTAAATCACAAATATCTCACAGGAGCAACTCATAAACTTTTTAACTTATGGTCACACTGTAATGTTGTGATTCAGGTTCAAAATAAATGAAGCTGAGTCTAGCTTTCACCTCTACAGCCATACCTTTCTAAGTATAGAGATTTTATAGGAATAAATATGGATCTCGACATGGTTTTAAAGATTTTTTTGTAAAGAGTCCAACCCTAAGCTCAGGAGTTGGAGACTCAGTTGAGCCATCTTGTTTAGTTCTTACCTAATGCAGCGAAAATTGCTGCAGCCCAGAACATCTCTCCCATCAGTGCAGGAATGAACAGCAGCCCACCCATGCGCTTTCCATAGATCTGTTGAAATGGGTCTAGCATGGTCACATATCCCTTGGAACGCATAGGTTTTGCAAAGAACAGACCACCTAAAACAAATCAAAAAAGTACTTGTGAGAGCAAAGTCGTGACAGATACCTTTTTACTATTTATCTTTCTCTCCATAAGAAAATGAATTTTTAAGATATCTGTATGTACTTAGAATCCCATTTTACATGTCCTATGAATATGGTACTAAGAGATAGTTAGCAACCTAATGTAAACTCCGTAGTACATCAAACAGTGCTGTGTCCAGTGGGTAACAGAATGACATAAATGGGGCATATGAATTGGAAGCCATGGACCAGGTCGGTGTGCGTTCGAAGACTTCGATGCATTTCTGTCACACAATCCAACATTTAGACACTTTGAGTAAGCAGAACTCCAATAAAAGCATTTTTTTTTGTGTGTAGTAAAATGAGTTACTCTCATATAATATTGAAACGTTTAACAGTTTCACTTACCCAAAGGAACAAAGGAACAATGGAGCTGATTAGGTTTTAATGATATAGCCATACTACTTTTTGAAGGAAATAAATCACAGTTGTTTAAGAAATGCACTGTTCTAGTGGCCACAGGTTCAAAGAGGTTTTTTACACAGTGCATAACCAGAAGATTAATAATCTAAGCATTGGTGTTCTGCTACATAACAATTTCTGGTAATTGCTACTTAGAAATTTTTCCCACAATAGTTGCTCATGTCATTTGACTTATTATTTATACTCTATTCTGAGAACTGTGTGAGTCACTGGGATCTCAACACCCACTTACCTAAGATCAGACTCAGAGAATACCCTATGGGTGCCTGAGCCCATGCAAGACCACAGCCTGGGCCATAAACTGCTTCAGCTGTCCCGTTGATGTAACCTCCTCCAACCCAGGTGGCTGAAATAGAACCAACAGTTGGGTTACACACTCTCTTCACCTGCTGTGCCCTGGGCCTAACCACTCAACACAGTGGCCACTGGCTTCAGGTGGCCCTATAAGCTCCGCAATGCAGTATTCCGACAGGTAGGTCTTTTTTCAGATATATAAAAGTTCTGTAGCACAATTGCTAGATGAGAGCAGCTAAATAGCCAAAGAAAGCTGGCTTGGGCTAAGAAAACTCGAGCCAATTTTCCTCATAACAAATTTGATTCTTTATTTTTTTCCAAATAATATTTTCTTAATTCTTTGAGAATTTAATATGATGATTTTTTTAACATGTCCAGCCATAATACTGTCCCCTAATATTTCCCAGACCTATACTTTACTCTTACTGGAAAAATTAAAGTCAACAGAACTCTAAGGTTTTGTAGTTTATGTATTTCTACGAGTATAGCAGAAAGGTCCAAAGTGATCCCTGTGCACAATGTATATAGAATGATAAAGGTCTCAGACTCTTAATACTCTTATCAGACAGGAGACTGACCATCCCATAAAGAATGCAATGTAGAAGAATATATCTCTCTGTATAGAAATCCTGTCTATACCACTAAGATGTGATTAACTGTTTTCTTGCCAGAATTTATGCCCCTTTAAATCCAACAGGCAAAAAAGAGTGTGCTGGAACTAAGGCTCTGTGTGTGTGTGTGTGTGTGTGTGTGTGTGTGTGTGTGTGTAAAACAGGAATTAAAGAAGAAAGAGGCCTTGAATTTCAAAGCGAACATGGAGGGGGACATGGGAATGTTTGGAGTGAGGAAAGTGAAGGGAAAAATGATGTAATTGTACAATTTCATCACAATCTCAAAAATAAATGAAAAAAATTAACATAAGAAGACTCCTGATTAAGAAATTTTAGGCACATTTAATGGGAAATTTAGGTACTAAATCCTGAAGTGAGCAGGAAATGTGTGGTAGCCACTCCTTTCTTCACACAAGCTTTCACATCCGGTGTGCAGACAACTAAACACTGCTGCTCATTGATTTTCTCATTCTAAATCCTGTTGAAATTTTAGAGTTTTTCTTCTCTACCCTGCACACTGAGTACTTGACAAGGATCAGAAGAAATTTATCCTTACATGGTTCAGAACCTGAGACTTCATCTTAGAGCTAAGATGGCTGAAACCAATAACATGCCAGCAATACCTGGCGCAGAATGAAAATGGCTCCATGATCTTACAGCACAAAGCTTCTTAGCAATTGCTTTTGACTGCATGGCTTTGCTGCCCTCATCCAAAAATCAAATATGCGCTTGGGTGGTTGCATTTATTATGATACGAAACTGAAAACTTCGTCATTTACTATGATTAAAAGCAGCCTTTCCATTTGTTATTGATTTAGTGTTTTCTGGGCCACAATTCTTTCCCCACATTTACATCCATTTGTGCCAAATAATGAGCAAGAACACAAATTCTTTTAAAGTATATATTTTAAAAGAATCTACATTTCACTCTTGATTTCTTATGAAATGCATGTAAGCAGTCTGAATCTAGTGAGGCTTAAATAATATGGTTCCGATTTTAAATGAATGGTCATATTGACAAGGGTCTTCTGAGCTTGGAGATAAAACTGTTACCACATCAGCTAAACTATGATAATACTTTATAAGAAACAGTCTCATCTGACTATTTGTATATACTTTAATGGTGTGTCATGTTTTTACAAATCTGCATGTGATGAAAGAATGTATTCTACAACAATGCACGACTATGTGAAATAGATTATTATAGAGTAGCAGAATATTATAATAATCATCAAAGAATAAAATGCTTGGACATTTAGTAGCTCATTTTTTTTCTTGTGACTTTTTGGAAACAATATGTTTCTTTTAAAGAGATGCAGTATATCACTGAGAGAGTCGCACATAGCACTGCATGGAGGATCCTGAGTGAGGTCAACCAGACTTGGCCCTGATCTTTGCTAACTAATCAAGTCTGGAGAGTCCCTTAATTCTACAACCCTTTCGCAGTGTCTGCTATAACGAGCACATGAATCTATCTAAACTATATAAGTGAATGTCTGAATTCACAATGGAAATGCTTGGCAAATAAGAATCTACAGTCCATACAGGATACCGTAGATTTCAGACAACCAAAATGAAGGCTTTCAGAACATGGAAACCATCTTTACAGCATAGTTAGATTCCTAGCTGACACAAAGTATGAATTGTCTTTCAATGGCACTTCTGTACAAAAATGGATATTTCATTTGGATACAATTTTTAATGAGATATTTTTCTAATGAGGTGTCAAGAATTCCAGCTAGAGTAGATTATGTTGCAGGTGTTAAATATTCACTAAACAAGACTCAGACACAAGTGTTGCCAATCATTTACAAGTTTATATTGTTTTCACAATTATGTTCAGTGACCACGATGAATATGAAAAACCAAACAAATGACTCTGAGATCAAAGGAAGAAAGATCAAGGGCCTCTCCTCTTCTAGCACAAAGAAAATTGCAAAGGAAGAGAAATGCAGATGCTGGCCCGGGGATTCCTTTGAGGACACACCCTGATTTTTTTTCTTTTAATGTCAAGGATTCTGGAAACCTTTCTTTTCACATTGTAAATAGTTTCCTTTCAGGAAAATGGTTATTAAATGAGAAGGTAGTCTTCTAACAGACATTAGTTAGACTAGAGTTGTAGTGTCTACAAAATGACTTGTTAGAGCTAAACTATCACAACTAGTTAGTATTCATTTGTCATTTAAGAGAACATCCCCACGCTTGTACTAGTGGGTGCATGGAGACACCATGGTCGTAAGTCACAGATTCACAACTTGAAAGACTATGGCTTTGCTTTCCTGCACCCCTTTGTTTTCACCACTGCCACCCTCCAACCAAGCAAGAAAGACTGTATTTGCTTCACTAACATCTAATCCAGTGATTTATTATAAATTTCTTTTTGTCAAGTACTATTGAGATTAAACCTTTTTCTTTCAAATTAAACATGAAATTACTTTAAACTGTACAAGTAGTGGGCTAGAAGAACTTCAAAGGACAAGCAGCAATGTCTGTCTTCTCACACAGAGCACAAGCCAGCATGAGAAGGAAGCATGGGAACACCTACCTGTCATGGTAAAGCCACCGACCAACAAACCAATATCTCGCCCCCCGACTATGATGGCTTCGCTGCGCTCTTCTGCATTGCCGCTGTTTTTGGTTTTCCACGCAGCCCATATTCCAACCAGAAATATAATGAGGTAGAACAGGATGATAGCTACCAGTCCTTCTACATGAAAAGCCATTTTTATTTAAGGTAAGGAGCAGATTCTTCCACAGTGGGCTACTTCATCAAGCCTTCTGCAGAAAATACAGCAATGCATTATTAAGCAGCCAAGCACTATGCCTACACAGGCTGCCAAGAATAAGCAGCTGGCTCCAGCCATCCCTTAAAAAAAAAAAAAAAAAGCTTGCATTGAAATTCCCATGAAACTAGTCTTAGCCAACAAGTGTCCAGTAGACTGATCTGCTTCTACTTATTAAGTTAATGTTTGGAATTTTGAAGAAGCAGGAAAAAAGAGTGAACACAAATACAATTGTAATATTTTTATTTTCATAAATTCCTTCAAGTTAAAATCAAGTCTCATTTGTGTTTTATCTCAGGTCTTCTGTCAACAGATTGTTTGCAATGATTATGCCTGTATTTGTCCTTTGAAACAAAATCGGTATTTTATAACTGTTTTAATTTAAGTGTATCCTAAAGAAATACTCCAAGAACATTCACGTGTGTGTGTGTGTGTGTGTGTGTGTGTGTGTGTGTGTGTGTGTGTTCATTATTCATCCTCTACTTATCCTTTCAGAGGACTTCAGGAAACAGGTCCAAAAGTGATCCAACATGTTGGTGTGTGTGTTGGGGGAGGACTAGAAAAAATCCATTTAAAATGCATCGCCTGTGTTTTAATTTACCGTAACAACTAAGTATGCTTTCGTTGTTTAAATGATGACCCTCGACCATCTCAGTCTTCCTTTGTCCTTAGTTTATATCATGCCCCCACCTTTCTTCCCGCTGCCCCTTCTTGGTCTCTATGAGAAAAAGGATTTTAAATAAAGTAATGAATAAACCACAGTCACGAAAACGAAGAACGAAACGGAGAGGACTGCTGTCAAGTTCTGAATTAAAGCTTCATCTTATGGAATTCTTGTTCTTTCATTTCGCACACTACCTCGGTTATTTCCTATGCCCAGTTCACAAGCTTAAGTTTCTGGTGGAAGTCTGCACTTTACAAGTGGGTGGTGAGGCGCTGGGTGCAAGCACTCACCTCCGGGATGCCAGCGGGCTCTGGTGCGCCTGGGACTCAGTGGGCACCGCCTTTGTGATCGCTAACTCACCGAACACCCCCTCCGCCCGAGCTCCTTGATGCTCAGCTCCCCGGGACCCCGCGTCTCGGGTCTCCAGAACCAAGTATCTGCAGCCGCTGGCACCCGGAGAGCCACAAGTGCCTTTCAGCTGAGCGGAGGCTGCCTCTCCACCAGAGTTCGCCCCTTCTCTCAGTCCCCGAGGGCGCGGCCGCAGCTCGCTCTCCGGGCTCTTACCTGGGCGTCACCCTGGAGCTGTTCCGGGGTCCGGGCGTCTCTTGATTTCCCGGGCAGCGAGGGAGGGAGGAGCGGGGTGAGTGGGAGGGGGATAGGTGGGGAGCTCGACGAGGGCTGCGAGGGTCAAGGTGATCGATCCGGGTATTGGGAAAAGTCTCTTTATAAGGGAGGCGGGCGGGGGCGATCGTCAGAGCTCTGGAGACGGACGTCAGAGCAAAGTGGTGCTGGGCGGGAGCTACGCACTGTGCCCTTAGCGTGGCGCCGGGTGCATGGGAGAAGCCTGGCTCACAGTCAGCACTTGCCCAACTCCGTGTTCCCATCCCAAGTCAAGTCACGGACTCCCCTAGAATGGAAGGCTCTAGACCCTAAAGTCATTCCCAAGTCTAACTACTCACTCTTCTTATCTCCCTGAGGTGTCAAGGATAGCGATGGAGATAGAGGAGGCTTCCCAGACCGGCCTTAGGGTGTTTCCATGAAAGCTCTGTTCTGGGCAGTGTTCCCCTGTCACTGGTGGACCTCAGTGGGATGATTTCAAGCCCTTGTTGATGGACTTCATATAGAAGACATTTTCAGGTTTAGACCAGTCAGCTCTTTCCCTTTTGGTTTATAGCCATACTCCCTTCACTTAAAAATGGGGTTACAATGGAAGTCTCTTATAATTGCAAAGTTGTTTAAAACAAAGTTGATGTGTAGACACTGGAAACATCGTTCCTTGCTAATATTCTGTTCTAGCTTGACAAATAAATAAATAAAAAGCATTCAGTCTGTCACTTCAAACGCATCTATAGCTTTAGTATACACCTATACGTCTGGCATTTTATGACTGGATTGCTTATATGTCTCTTGTACCTCTCTGTAGACGGCTTTATCCTGTAATGTCTGTACTTACTGTAGAGAGAAATATCTGGACATCGTTTTAAATGTATGTGTGTTGCAGGAGGGGTGTTGCAGAAAGGGTATGAGAAAAAGAACAAAGGATTGAAAGTCACCAAGTCTCAGCCCTGGGGCCACGTTCTCGCTTCTCTCTACATTCCAGCAAGCCAGTCTATTAAGCACTGAACGAGTGCACATGAAAGCTAACGGGGAGAACTCAATACTTAGCTGCTGCCCACCTCTCGAGGCCCCCACGCTAGAGAGGATTTAGAGGGGGTCTTTCAACAATACATACTCCCCCTTCCTTTGTTCTTTGTGTAAACACTAAATACCCCCAGCTGCCTTACATAGGTGAGAAAGCTCACTAGGGTCCAGAGCACAGGAAGGGCAGGGCAGAGGGGACAGTTGTCACAACCAAGGTTTGTGATCAGTTAATCTTGTTTCTGGGACAGACCTCCTTTGAGCTCAGAAAAGACGTTTTAAAGCATTTTAAATAAACTGACAGAAGACAGGCATGAAATTTCATATAATCACCAGTGTTCTCAGTGGGATCCATTCATTCATTTGTTGTTTTATTTTTGCTAGGTACAAATCAATTTCTGATTCTGGACTTAGGCCACAGATTAAATCCCAGTTTTCCTTCTGGAATGTTCTTTAAGGTGATGACACACATAGTTCAATTGCTGCAGGACAGGCATCAGGAATTCAGGATCTGAAATAGTGTGCCAGCTCGTGGGGCTTAAGGTCAGAGAGTGTGACTCAGGTCCAGGGAGACAGGAAAAGTGGCTGTCCTCAGAGAACAGCACCAGGGCTTAGGAATAAGAATCCGGAGTGCAGCCAGGGCTCACACTCTGGGGGAGGTGAGGCTAGGGGACCTAATTGACTCTGAGAAGCCAGATGTGCCAAGATATAGACTAACAGCCAGATTTCAGTAGTGAGGGTGACCTTGAAAAGGGGGAGGGCGGAGAAGCCTGACGGAAAGAAACTGTCCTTCATGACGAAGAGCTTCAGTGGAAAATGACAACTCCTGATGTATTGAGTCTAGCTCTGGGCAGACATGTCCTCATCTGCCCAGTCACGTGAGCACCATTGTCTGACCAGAGAATGATGTTGCAATGCACTTCCGGTGCAGCATCTTCTTCATGACATCCGTTTGTCTTTAGTTTTCCCTATAAACCTCTCCTCTGCTTTCCTGAGAGCATGCGCTCATGCCTGGAGCCAGGGAAATACATGCCAGTGGGAGATCAATTCCAGATTTAGGAATTGTGCATTCCTAAATGGAAATGCAGTTGTGCATTATAAATCATTTATTTAGTTATCACACATTTCCTATGTTCCTTTTTGCTCCCAACAGTGTTCTATGGGCTGAGAATACGTGGAGAAAATGATATATAGTGCCCTGCCCTAAACAACAACTTGTCCTTAAGAGGAAAATAAAAGGAATCCAGATAAAAGCCTCTTAATTTCAGTGCTGGGGAGGACACAACATTTCTCTTCACGCAGAGTTTTTAAGTGGAGCACAGATATGTCTTCATAACTGACACGTTCTCGGAGGAGGGGCCACTTTGTTCACAAAGCAGAGGCTGCTTTGTGCTAAGATTGTGAGAGGTGCTGGATCCTTGTCCTCAGTCAGTTTCAAGTAGCTAACCTTGGCACACACAGCATCATTCAAGAATAAGAGGCCTCAGAATCACTTATATTAAAAAGATTGATTTCTTTTCTTCTTTTTTTTGAGAATCAAAGGCTTTGACTTGAAGTGCACATTTAAACATGATGAGAATATTAATCCAGATGCATTAGTGAGGTTCAATGTGGCCCTTTCCTACAAGTCCGTAACTTCCTGGGCTTCTCATACACCTTTAGCTTGACCCTCTTGCAAGTTTTAATTTGCTACCTTTTCAATTGTAATTGGTCAATCATTTTAAACCACAGTGAATATTGCAATCACAAGATGCTTTAGAAATTGTACAAGAGTAATTATTCAGATTCTGTAAGTCCTAGACTAAGGTTTGGGAGTATTTTTTCTTGTGAACCTTCCCCAGCATGGTGTCCTGTTTGAGAATGGTCCCCATAGACTCATACATTTGAATGCTTGGTCCCCAGTTGGCACAGGAAGGATTAGGAGGTATGACTGTGTGGAGTAGGTGTTTCATTGGAATTGAGCTTTGAGGTTTCAAAAGCCCACCGCTTGCTCAGTCTTGTTCTTTCTCTGCCTGCAACTTGTGAATCAGATGTGAGTCTCAGCTACTGCTTTAGTACGGGTTCAACTCAATACTTTTTAACTTTTACAATGGCATGAAAAATATTCATATTTATCAGAGATTTGAATTACCAACTTGGATATTTCCACGGGCTACTGATAATGTCTCAGGCATTTTTTTCTGATGGCCAGCAGGACACCAAGGCTTCCACTGGTACAGGGGCAAATCACCAGAACTCCATGCTCACTGTATTCACTAAATCATGAGGGTATTCAACCCTCCATGATAAAATGGGCTTTCTCTTAGATGACTTTGCTCAACTAGATTCTGAGTATGTTATTTTAAGCTACAATGTACAGTGGGTTAAGTGCATGAAATTTCCAATTTATGATATTTTCAACTTCCACTGGGTTTACTGGAATGGAACTCCAAGGTAAGTCATGAGATTATCTGCCCAATATTTAAAATCACTTACTGCAATGAATATTTTCCCTTTGGTGCTCAATTACAGGTAGTAAGCAGAAGACATTTTGGCAGCCTATTATTGTTCTTAGATTTGTTGTTTAAATTACTGATGCCCTGGCCTTGGATGACAATTTATTATATTGCATACATGGTAGACAAATTCAGCCTTTTCCTTCTTAATGTTTATATATATAATGTATGTATATAAATATATATGTACATATTACACATATAAATGTGTGTGTATGTATGTATAAAACTTCAAAGTGTTTTCTGGTCCTCTTAACCAATTGCCTACCAGATCCATTTTGTGTCTAGGAGTGGGATTTGAGATTTCTAAAGCCCATGCCAGGGCCCATTTTTCTTCCTTCCTTCCCTTCCTTCCTTCCTTCCTTCCTTCCTTCCTTCCTTCCTTCCTTCCTTCCTTCCTTCCTTCCTTCCTTCCTTCCTTTCTCTACTTGATGCCTGGGGATCATGATGTACAGTTCTCAGCAGTTTATCTAGTGCCACGATGATCATAGATTAAACCTCTGAAATTGTTAGCAAGCCCCCAATTAAATGCTTTCTTTTAAGAGAATTGCCCTTTACATGGTGTCTCTTCCCAGCCATAGAATAGTAGCTAAGACACAGTCTTTGCCAAAAACTTCATCTCCAATTGAGTGAGCCACTTCCTTTGCCACTAATTCTCCTCTTTGCTTCAGACTCATTCCAGATACGGATAAGAACCTTTTGTGGGCTTCATCAGTGTCAGGCTGGGTTACCCTTAATAGTACTTCTGTTATGAAGCAACATGTCTCCATTACTTTATGAACATGAAAACAGGGGGTTATTGTATTTCATTCTTTATATATTAGGCTCTTAGTACAGCGCCTGGAATGAAATAGTGAAAACTAGCAGAATCAAATTATTTCATTTCCACAGACGCAAAAATTTTAGACCTAATATTTGGGAAAACATAGAAAATTATTTAATTTGAAGCTAAATGAGAAAGCGATGTTTGGAAAAGACAAAAGGAGCCATTAGAATAGTTTTGTAATTACATACCATTGAGAATATCATTGTGAATTCAAGTGAAAACTATCTTTATTTCATTATTTTAAAGGCTTGAATTGTGTTTTGCCTGATAGCAAATATGTGTTTGTGCATATGTGTCTCTGTGTGAATACACGTATATATCCATCATATGCTTTAGGCAGGATCGCTCACTAAACCTGGAACTTACCCATTCAGGAAGACTAGCTAACCAGTAATCTTAGCAACCCTGCTATTGCTGAGACTATAGGTACACACTGTCCCATGTAGCTCTTTCCATGGGTTCTTGACATGCAGTTCTACGTGATTCTGCATCAGTTCATCTTGATGTCTGAGTCATCTGTCCAACCCTGACACCTAATGTTTACAGGATTTCTCAAATGCCAAATAGCTAAGACATAAAAATGGGGATATGAATTGCTTTCAAAAATTTCTTAGGCAAATAACCCATTCACCAGAGAAAGGAGGCCGTTATAGACCAAAGTAATAACTACACCCAAGTTCAGCTTGGTGTACCAATGGTTTTTACATTGGTGTCTAACAGTAATATAAAAGGACTACATTTGGGAACAAAGAAAATTCAAAAGAAAATACGTCACAAAAAAGCCCACCCTATCATTTCTTATTACTTCATAGTTTCCTATTGCATGC